GCAGGAGGTTGTCTCTGTTGACAAACTTAAGCCTTCACATGTTATGCAGGAGGATCAGGTGGTCCCGGCCCAGGCCCCTCGCTGCGGCCGCCCACCTGCCACTGGGCTGATGGATTCTGTTTTTTCCCCCAGGAGCGACCCAAAATCAACGGAGTCCGAGTCGTCTGCAGCTTTTTCTGACCGCCAGTGCCAGCCTCGCTACCGGGCTGGGTTGCCCTCTGTCAGTTCCCCACCCCCCCTGGTTCAGCCGTTCCGGCCGTTTGCTTAAGCCCTGGGTCCTGGACTAGTTCTGCTGTGTGTTCGGGGGGGGGCATGTGTGGTGGACCACTAGAGGGCTCCACTCACACCCAGTGTATAGGAAGTGTGTTCCTGTGTTTTGTGGCGCGATATGCCCAGTTGATGTTGGAGACTAATAAAGAAGGAGTGAGAACTGAGAGCTCTGTGTCGTTGATGCTTACCTCCACACTGCTATCAATACATTTTTCTAAAAAATGCCTCTCTGTGCAAAATGGGTTCAAAAACAAACAACTGTGGGATGTCGTTTGTCCGTGATTTGGACAGGTGGAACAAATTACAGCAGGATCAGCCTGATATTATTTGTATCCCACTGTAACTTTACTGTATAACATCTCCAAAATGCCAGGAGTAGTAAATAGTCATTACAAGAAGTGTTTGTGAACTAAACATCAAGAATGTGGGATACTGTTTGTCCATGATTTGTACAGCACACAGCAAATTGTGATGAATAAGGATAGCCACTCCTCTAGTTTTTCTTTTGCAAGATGAGTAGAGAACTTGACCAACTCAACTTCTCTTTAGTTGTGTGTGTTACAAATATAAATGTTACAAATCATTTAGAGGGGTTTCTGACAATAAAGCAATTTGGGGTTTTTCTTTTTTCAATGGTGAAAGAGTTTTTTGTCTTTTTACTGTCACGGCTCATGTGGCAAGTGGAATTTTAATAAAAGACCCAAGATGCGGGCAGCTTCCGAAGTGAGTGAACCTTCATTTTGACAGTGACAATACAAATAGCAGGGGAGAAGTCATGTCCAGAACGCAAGAAGAACTAAACTGGGAAAACTAACAGAAACAGACCTGAAAGAGAGTTGCAGGGAGACTTAGGGAAATGATGCAGGGAACCAATGCACACAGGTTGACGGAGGGCAATAACGCAGGCAAACCAGCAACAGGCAGGAGACACACAGGGCTTAAATACTCACAGGGGTAATCATGGGAGGGGAGACAGGAGGAGAACACACCTGGGAGAAATCAGAGCTGACGAGATACAGATGTAAAGCTGAGAACACTCACATGAGACAGACCTTCAGACTAAAACAGGAAACTCACAACAGACACAGAGAGAGATACAAAGGGTAGAGACACTGGAGGGAATCCAATAAACTAAACTAAACAACCTAGGAACTGTGGAATAAATCATGAACTAAGAAAATACATAAACAAGAAAACTAAGAACGCTGGGTTGTTTTGACCCAGGGCCACGACATTTACAGCATTATGCAGCCCTTTAGCATTTAAGAAATTACTTTAAGGTCCGTTATATCAACATAAAACATTTTTTATAACATGCTGTGTAAAACATCATTTCTGGGGTTCACAACTACACAAGGGCATATATATATATTTCCATAAGAGAGAATGTAGGTGAGTTTACCTATGAAGCGTCTTGAGGCGACTTTTGTTGTGATTTGGCGCTATATAAATAAAATTGAATTGAATTGAAGTTTAGTTAAATTATGAAAACAAAAAACAAAGAGAAAGAAAAGAAAAAAATAGGCAACAAAACAAAACCTTACATAACAAGAAAAAAAGAAAACAAAAGCAACTCCTAATAACCCCTTACCCATATGGAAAATAAATAGAAAAACCTTATCAAAGACTTGCATAAGATTTGGCTTACCTCATATAGTAAATCATATAAGGCTTATATGATTTACTCATGAAAGTGGCCACTTTCTCATTACTTTCATATATTGTGTCATGGCTCGCTGTGTGGCAGGCAGGATGAGGACCCAAAATGCAAACTCACGGACTCAGGGGATAAACTCAAAATCACAGCTTTAATGCTGGAAGGCAGATCACAGGAAATACAAAACTTAAACTGGGAACAATAAACTAACACTCGGAGAGAGACACAGGGAAATCCACGCAGCATGAGGGAGAACGCGACACAGAACTGAGGGAGACGCAGACAGAAATACACCGAGGGTTAACGAGGGAAGTGGGAGCACATGGGAACACAGGTGACACTGATAATCATAACGAGACAGGGCGGGGTGAACATAACATGACGTATACAGGTGCAGGAGTCCCAAAGTAAAACAGGAAGTACACGGGGGTTCAGACAGGAGGGAGAGAGAGCACAGGGAGAACATAGACATAACGGGCAGGGGAAACATGGAATAAACACAACGAGAGACGAGGGCTGATAAATACACAGGGGGGCACACAGGGGGTAAGAGTCACGAAGGGAAAACACTTAGGGAACACCACAACAGGACACCTCAGAAAACATGGCCTAAATAAGGAACGAAATACAAAAGATACAAGAAACTAAGAATACTGGGCCAACATGGCCCAGGACCATGACATATGGTTTTAGTAAGTATCCAAAACATACAAGTTTCATTTATATAATTTTTCAAGGGATCTTATATCTGTCACGATCCTGGGTCTTATGACCCAGTGTTTTGAGTTTTAGTTCTTTTGATGTTCATATGTTTAAGCTTTTTAGGTTTCCTATGTTCATTTGCTTACTTGTGTTTTCAACCCCTGTGAAGTCTCCCTTGCCCTTCGTGTGTTTCATGTCTGTTGTCTTATGTTGTCATGTCTGCCTCTCGTTCCCAGTTTTATTTTGAAGAGATCTGGTGTTTTATATTATGGATTGTGTTTTGAGTCCTTTGTTGTACCGTTTCTTGTTTCCCTAGATTTCAGTTATGGTTATCATAGGTTCAGTTCTTTGGCTTTGTCATATGGCTTCCCTGTGTTCCATGTTATGTCCACTGTGATGTTTTTGTACCATGTTTCAGGCTCCTATATTCTGTCTCCCCAGTTGCTGTTAAGTTTGCATGTTTAGAATTCAGTCAGTGTGTTTCCTGTTTTACTTTGAAGGTCCATGCCTCATGTGAGTGTTTCTAGTTTTGCTTCCCTTGTCTCGTCCAGCCTGATTACTCCCAGCTGTGCTCTCCTTCTGTGTCTCATTCTCTCGTTACCCCTCTGTGTATTTAAGCCCTATGTTTCTCTTTGTCAGTGTCGTAGTCTCCCTCATGGCTGTGTTTCCGTTTATCCATGCCCCAGTTTAGTTTTGTTATATTTTTGTGCCATTCTGCAATAAAGCAGCTTTTTGAGTTTTATTCCTGTGTAGTGAGTTTTGCATTTGGGTCCTTCTCTTGCCTGTACACAGCCGAAACATGACAATATCGGTTTTCACTCTTGTATGCTTTTCATACAAGTTTCACACAAGACAGATACAAACTTTATAAGATTTATATATATATTTTCCATATTGGTACCCTCCCCAAATAGGCCGATGCTACAATCAATAGGAAAGGGAAAAAAACTGGGTCTTGTGAAACCGAGCTAGAGTCACTGACAGGTAAAAAGAGAAGAAAAAGAAACCCTAAAGAACAAAAATTCCCCTCCATACTCCCTTCTGCCAGAGGAAAAAAAGCCAACCTCAATATTGAAATGTATATCTAACTTTAACTCATTTTATGTGCGATTGTGGCTCAAGAGTTGGGAGTTCGCCTTGTAATCGGAAGGTTGCCGGTTCGAGCCCTGGACAGTCTCGGAAGTTGTGTGTCTTGTGCAAGACACTTCACCCGTTGACTACTGGTGGTGGTCAGAGGGCCCGGTGGCACCAGTGTCCTCGCCTCTTTCAGTGCGCCCCATGGTGACTGTGGCTACAACGTAGCTTGCCATCACCAGTGTGTGGATAACTGGATGTGTAAAGTGCTTTGGGATCCTTAGGACTAGGAGAGCGCTATACAAATACAAGCCATTTACCATTTAAGTGCATAGTAATTGCAAAAAAGCAATTACCTACAAAAAAATTGAAAATTGTTTTTATTTTTTTAACATATATTTGTAGTTAGAGAAATTTAAGAGGTTTATTCCTCAAAACTGTAAGTACAAAAAAGTTGCACAAATTGTTTTCCCATCACAGGCAATTTATTTTGAGTGTCTTTATAGTTTTATTTTTGAAATACACCAATTTTTATGCACTGCAGGAAAAACGAAAATAAATATTACAATGCAAATTTGCGAAAAAAGCAGCATATGCATCAAAATAAACTATTTCCAGCAGTGCAATATGAGTCCTCAGCATCCCAGAAACGATACAGAAAGTCATAAAGTCAAACATAACTTTTAAAAACACCAGTATAGGCTTATAAGGCCCTGATGGTAAAAAACTACATTTCCGCAAAATGATGTTACTTCCTGTTTCGGGCAGGTCATGGCGGACATGCGATAGTTCACGATGATGGACATAGGAAGTGTTACGAACAGCTGATCGGATCGGCAAAGCGTGTTTCTGGAATATTATGTTTTTGTTGTTGCAAAGTGGTTTTTATGCAATTTTTTCAAAGCTATATATGGGAGGTAATCGTGACCTAGGAGTCGCTGATGGCATAAGATGGAGGTACAACTCCTCCGGTTTCATATGCAAAAAAAAGTTATTGCGCTAGCTTACGGGGTTGCAGTTCTACCGGGATTTAAAAATAGTTACGCAAAACGGAGCGCTCCGGCCAGCTTTAAAGGGTTAACAGGGCCGTTGACCCATTATTAATCATTTGCCTCACCACATGACCCAAAGTGCGAAAAAGGGTTTGGGTCATCATCAACAGATGTTTTGGGTGAAATCTTTGGGAGGCATTGCCTCACCCTGTCATGTGACCATCGTCATTAGTGAGGCGAGTTACTGAACTAACATTGTCATACTCACTAGGTTTGCTTTTGCCCCCCCCCCCCCCCCCCCCAAGAGTGTCTTTTACGGTGTCATCGGTGTCTAAAGCGTAAGCTCAGAGAGAAGTTCCAAATTGCCTTGGAGGGAAGTGTCAGAGCTGAAAATCCAACCCAAGTCCCACTGAATCAGATCTACACAGAGCTCTACATCACAGAGGGAGGGACTGCAGAGGTCAATGATGAACATGAGGTCGGACAGATTGAAACAGCATCCAGGAAATCACATAGACCAGAAACAACAATCAGACAAGAAGACATCTTTAAAGGCTCACCACAAAGAATTAAACAAATCAGAACAGTGCTGACAATGGGAGTAGCTGGCATTGGGAAAACAGTCTTAACACAGAAATACAGCCTGGACTGGGCTGAAGACAAAGCCAACCAGGACATCAAGTTTTTATTTCCATTCACTTTCAGAGAGCTGAATGTGCTGAAAGAGGAAAAGTTCAGCTTGGTGGGACTTGTTCATCACTTCTTTACTGAAACCAAAGAAGCAGGAATCTGCAGCTTTGAAGATTTCCAGGTTGTGTTCATCTTTGATGGTCTGGATGAGTGTCGACTTCCTCTGGACTTCCAGAAAACTAAAAACCTAATTGACCCTAGAGAGTCCACCTCAGTGGATGCGCTGCTGATAAACCTCATCAGGGGGAAACTGCTTCCCTCTGCTCGCCTCTGGATAACCACACGACCTGCAGCAGCCAATCAGATCCCTCCTGACTGTGTTGACATGGTGACAAAGGTCAGAGGGTTCACTGACCCACAGAAGGAGGAGTACTTCAGGAAAGATTCAGAGATGAGGAGCAGGCCAGCAGGATCATCTCCCACATCAAGACATCACGAAGCCTCCAATCATGTGCCACATCCCAGTCTTCTGTGGATCACTGCTACAGTTTCTGGAGGATGTGCTGGAAACCAGAGAGGGAGGACAGCTGCCCAAGACCCTGACTGAGATGTACATCCACTTCTGGTGGTTCAGGCCAAAGTGAAGAAGGTCAATATGATGGAGGAGCTGAGACAGATCCACACTGGAGTCCAGAGAGCAGGAAGATGATGGAGTCTCTGGGAAAACTGGCTTTTGATCAGCTGCAGAAAGGAAACCTGATCTTCTATGAATCAAACCTGACAGGGTGTGGCATCGATATCAGAGCAGCCTCAGTGTACTCAGGAGTGTTCACACAGATCTTTAAAGAGGGAGAGGACTGTACCAGGACAAGGTGTTCTGCTTCATCCATCTGAGTGTTCAGGAGTTTCTGGCTGCTCTTCATGTCCATCTGACCTTCATCAACTCTCGACTCAATCTGATGCAAGAACAACAACAACACCATTAAGTGTGATACAGAGAAGAATAGAAAGGACACTTGTCACCCAGAGTGCTGTGAACAAGGCCTTACAGAGTCCAAATGGACACTGGACTTGTTCCTCCGCTTCCTCCTGGGTCTTTCACTGCAGAGTAATCAGATTCTCCTACGAGGTCTGCTGACACAGACAGGGAGTATCTCACGACCAACAGGAAACATCCCAGTACATCAAGGAGAAGCTCAATGACAATCTGTCTGCAGAGGAGCATCAATCTGATCCACTGTCTGAATGAACTGAATGATCGTTCTCTAGTGAGGAGATCCAACAGTCCCTGAGATCAGGAAGCCTCTCCACAGATAAACTGTCTCTTGCTCAGTGGTCAGCTCTGGTCTTCATCTTACTGTCATCAGAAAAAGATCTGGATGTGTTTAAACTGAAGAAATACTCTGCTTCAGAGGAGGCTCTTCTGAGGCTGCTGCCAGTGGTCAAAGCCTCAAACAAGGCTCTGTAAGTACACTGATAGCTGGACTTTTACATTATTCAAATTATTTCTAGATTTATAAATGTATTATTGTCTCTTCAGACTGAGTGACTGTAACCTCACAGAGAGAAGCTGTGAAGCTCTTTCCTCAGTTCTCAGCTGCCACACCTGTAGTTTGCAAAAATTGGACCTGAGCAACAATGATCTGCAAGATTCAGGAATTACTCTTCTGTCTGTTGGACTGGAGAGTCCACATTGCAAACTGGAAACTCTCAGGTATGGTATATATATATATATATATGTGTGTGTGTGTGTGTGTGTGTGTGTGTGTGTGTGTGTGTGTGTGGGTGTGTGAGTGTATGTATATGTATATAGATAAATAGATAGATGCTTTTTGTTTCATTTTTTACATTGGAGCTGACGAATATTTTTGACTAAGGAAGAAAATATGAAACACGGTTTGGTCCTTTATTGCATCTTTAGTGTGTTAACATATTATGTTTAGTGAAATGTCAAGCCATTTCAGCTAATCTACCACAGTTGTACTATATAGGTTATATTTTGGTAACTGTTTATATTTCATCAGATTTAAAATGCAGGTCTATGTCCATTTAATAAAATCTATGTTACTTGTGTGCAGCTTCATTGTGGATGTTTAACTATTACATTTCTTTCTCTTATTCAATAACTTTTCTAAGGCTGAGTGGCTGTAACCTCTCGGAGAGAAGCTGTGGAGCTCTGATCAGAGTTATTCAATCAACTAATCTCAGGGAGATGGATCTGGGTAACAATAACCTGCAGGATTCAGGAGAAATTCTACTGTCAGCTGCATTGAAGAGTCCATGCTGTAAACTGGAGTCTC